GGGAAAGAGAAAGGTGGCTGCCCTTTAAAGAGCTGTTGGCCATCTTACAGCTGATGAGCACTTTTCGGGTGGGGCTAGGGTTGCCAAGGTCCCCCCCCCAGTCACCAGCAGTGTTCCCTCTAAGCTGAGAAGAAGAAGAGATTGGATTTACACCCCGTTCTTCACTCAGAGTCCCAGAGTGGCTTACAATCTCCTTCCCTGAGAGGCAGATGGGGCTGAGAGAGCTCTTTGAGAACTGCTCTTGAGAGAACAGCTCTGAGAGAACTATGGTTTGCCCAAGGTCACCCACCAACCACATGTGGAGGACTGGGGAATCAAACCCGGCTATCCCAGATTAGAGTCGGTACTCCTAAACAATGTTCCCTCTAAGCTGAGTTAGTGTGAGCTAGCTCATAGTTTCCTAGCCTCCGGCTCACACAGTTTCGTCTTAGCTCAGGGAGGAGGGCTCCAGAGCAAACTAATTAATGCGGTAGCCAAATCGCTCGCTCGCAACTTTAATGGCAGTAGCTCACAAAGTAGAATTTTTGCTCACAAGACTCCAGAGCTTAGAGGGAGCATTGGGGAGGGTGGGGTGTAGGGTTGTCAGTTCCTAGTTGGGAGATTCCTAGAGATTTGGGAGTGGAGCCTGGTGAGGATAGGGACCTTCATGGGGTACAAATGCCATAGAGTCCACCCTCCAAAGCATCCGTTTTCTTCAGGGAAACTGATATCTGTAGTCTGGGGATGAGCTGAAATTCCAGGGGATCCCCAGGTCCCACCTGGAGGCTGGCATTCCTAGGTGGGACCCAGAGGGGCTGGTCCCTGAAGCACTGACAAGTGAGGTCCCCCCCATCTCTCACAAGGGGCTCTCTCTGCCTCACAAGAGATGGGGAACAGCAAGAAGGCTGGCTGGAACTACAGAATCTCCTCTAAAAGGGCCTGGGAGGGAACCCGCAAGTAGTTTCCTGGGTCCCTGCTCTTGATTGTGTGGGAGGGAAGCCAGCAAGAGGAGAAGGGACCAAGCCATTGGCGGGGGCGGGGCAGGACCCCACCTCCCTCCAAAACCATCATTAGATGATGAAAGTCACCGTACACATAAGGGATTCTGGTTCCTCATTAACAGGATACATGTTTATTTTTAGTCGCCTAGCAGATAACGTTCTATACCCATAAACATTGCAAAAAAAGCTTTTATAATTACATGTGACCTATTTTTTTTTTTAAAGGCAAGCCCTCTACGGGGATGAAAGCATATGATGACCAATTAGAAAAGGAAGCCCTCAATAAACAGGGTTCTTAAAAGGAGCTCTTTAAAATGCTGATTCCTTACCAAAAATGGTGTTGCTTTTATTTTATTTTTTTCAAACTAAATAACTATATTTGTTGCTACCCATTTCCCCCCCCCCAAGAAAGTTTCAACAGACAGAATGTTTGACGAAGAAGAAGAAGCATCTAATCTCTAGTCGGCCATTTTCTTAGTGGGCGTGCCATTTGCTCTCAACCTGGCCAACCTCACAGGTTTGTTGTGAGGATGAAATGGGGGGGTCGAACTGTGCATGTGCGTGTGTGTTTTTACTCACCACCTGAGTTCACTAGAGAGCAGACAGGATGGGGATAGGTGGATGCTATGCAGGTCTGACAGTGCAATCCTAAAAACACTTCCTAGAGAGTAAGCATCACTGAACAGAGCTGAGTCGGATTGTGAAAGGACCAGCTTAGGATACCGCTGTGAGCCTGGTTAGTACCAGAATGGAAGGTCTCCTGAGAATCCTAAGTGTACCACCTTAAGTTGCATGGCCAAAGAAAGGTAGAGGAGGAGGAGGAGATTGGATTTATACCCCTACCCAAAGGAGTCTCAGAGCAGCTTACAAACTCCTTTCCCTTCCCCTCCCCACCACAGACACCCTGGGAGGTCGGTGGAGCTGAGAGAGCTCTGACAGAAACGGCTCTTTTTCAAAAACAGCTGTGCCAGAACTGTGGCTTGCCCAAGGTCATCCAGCCAGGTGCAAGTGGAGGAGTGGGAAATCAAACCCGGTTCTCCCAGATTAGAGTCCGCGCACTTAACCACTACACCAAAAGTGAAATCACTAAAGTTTCTTTGTTTGGCTTCATTATTATCACACATCCTGATACATATTGTCACCTGATGTGTGACAAAATCTTTCTTGCCACTTGGCAAGATTAGACAGATGATCCAACACAGCTTGTGACACTTTGGGTGTATGTCTCAACACACTGATCACCTGAGGGCTTCCAGTGCCCTGGCCCCACTGGTGGACCTCCTGATATCACCTGGTATTTTTGGCCACTGTGTGACAGAGTGTTGGACTGGATGGGCCACTGGCCTGATCCAACCTTAGCTTCTCCTATGTTCTTATATGGAGCAGAGGTCCATCAGTGGCTATTAGCCACAAGGTAGAGATAGGAACTCTCGGTCTGGGGCAAGGGATGCTCTGTGTTCTTGGTGCTGGGGGGGGGCAAGAGTGGGAGGGCTTCTAGTGTCCTGGCCCCACTGGTGGACCTCCTGATGGCACCTGGTATTTCTGGCCACTGTGTGACACAGAGTGTTGGACTGGATGGGCCTTTAGCCTGATCCAACATTGGCGTCTCTTATGTTCTCTTATGTTCTTATTATACCATCCAGAAATCATTTAGACTACTGTCTTTCTTTCTTTCTTTCTTTCTTTCTTTCTTTCTTTCTTTCTTTCTTTCTTTCTTTCTTTCTTTCTTCCTTTCTTTCTAACACGTGTGTGCCGTCTGCCCCCCCGGTTTAGGGTCCCCAAGGCAGTGGAGACCCACAGTTTGGGCACCACTACCGAGAAGGCCGTTTCTCAGGTTGCCACCCATCTAGCCTCAGATGGTGGGAGCGCCCCAAACAGGGCCTCAGACGAAAGCTGGAGTGGCCACACTAGGTCCACATGGGGTAGGTGGTCCTCGAGGTAACGCTGGTGCCATGGCTGCATGAGTGTAAACAGAAAGATATGAGGTATGCAGAAGGACAAACACCCTCTCCCCTCCCAACAATCATCTGCATAGATCTGCATTGTTCAGTGCCTTGAACTACAATGCATCAAAAGCAGTTCAGGAGGATTCTCTGTTATGTTTTTTGGAGTCCTTTCTTTTGGATGAAAGGGGTTGCGGTAGATATGGAGGGGCCCTGTCGAGACCCATCCATGGTTAAGCCACATCCATGGATCTTGCCGAGGGTTGCCAGACTGAGGCTGGAAACCGGCAGAAAGAGTTGGGTATAGGGACACTGAGGGGTGGTGTTGCAAGCGCAATAATGTTGCTTTTGCGGGAAACCCAGAAGCGAAGGTGGTAGCTCTAATCTCCAGAAATTCAGAATCTCCAGAAATCTCCAGAATCTCCAGAAATTCCCAGAGCTACTGCTATCGTTTCTGGGTTTCCCCTGGAAATGACGTTATTACACTCACTGATGACCCCACACACACACACACACACACAACAGGAGCGACCCATCCATGGTTAAGCCACATCCATGGATCTTGCCGAGGGTTGCCAGACTGAGGCTGGAAACCGGCAGAAAGAGTTGGGTATAGGGACACTGAGGGGTGGTGTTGCAAGCACAATAATGTTGCTTTTGCGGGAAACCCAGAAGCGAAGGTGGTAGCTCTAATCTCCAGAAATTCAGAATCTCCAGAAATCTCCAGAATCTCCAGAAATTCCCAGAGCTACTGCTATCGTTTCTCGGTTTCCCCTGGAAATGACATTATTGCACTCACTGGTGACCCACACACACACACACAACAGGAGCTCAGACCTGGGCATCACCCTGTCAGCTACGCTGCCATGGGGGTTGGAGAGCTCAGTCTGTGTCTGGTTAATTGCTACTGCATTCCTTTCTGTGCTTTTTCTGCTTTGTGCCGAAATGCTTATCTATACAGATGTGCAGGAGGGAGCTGTATTGTCTGGGTTTCTCCTAGGTGCCGTGGGAGAGTGTTGGTTCTCAGCCTTAGCTACCCAACGGTCTCCAAGCTTTATCCCGGGCACGGGAGGGTGCCTAATTGGCCAGTGCTGTGGGGTGTGTGTGCATACGAATACCCTATATCCTATTATGTCCATGGGGCTGCCACCATTCTTAACAGTGCTTATGTTACTGCATCTATAGCTCTGCAATAAAAGTATTACAGTTCTTGAATGTGTGTACTTTGTTGTTGGCTGTGGGTTTTGACACACCCGCACTAACTGGGGCTTGGCAGCCCTGATCTTACCACAGAATCTCTGAACTTGATAAAATGACAGATTGCACCCCCCCCCCGTTATTATACTAAAACAGTATGCTTTATTTATTATTTCCGTGCATACTTACCTGTTGCCTTCTTGCAGCGACATAGTTCAGTTTCACCATCTCTTTCCCAAATTCCTTGAAGCGATTTGCAAGGTCTTGCTCGTTTGTGGCATTCTTCACAGCTTCTAGCGCTTCTTCTACCTATAATGCAGGATTGGGGGGGGGGAGAGAAGAGAAAGAAAGAGCATATGTAAGTTGTACCAGCTGGACATGTCCAAGCCCTGAGGTATACCTAAAACAGTTACTGGATCCCAGCCCCAAACTATGACGTATCTTGCTCTTAAGTCATTTACTTAGTGAAGCAGCCAAATCAGGAAGGATCCCAGGTTTTTCAGACTTACTGGGAGTGTAGTAGGGTTGCCAGTCCCCAGGTCCCAGTGGGGGTTCCCCTAATTTGGGGGGCTTCTGCCCACTGCCGGCCAACTGACTGGCAGGGGAAACCCCACCTCCAAACAGCCACATCCAGGCACGACACTCCCAGTGAGATGACATCACCCAGAAGTTATGTCATCACATTGGGGGATATTGCACATGACACTCTGGTTTGAGGGCAAAACTCTATGGTAAATTTGGCCTAAAACCATAGAGTTTTGCCCTTAAACCAGAGTGTTGTCAACATGATCTCACTTCCAGGTGACGTCATCACAGTGGTGCTGTCCCAGGATGCCCCCAAGTACTCCCGCCGGTGCGGCAAGGGGACCTGGCAATCCTAAAGCGTAGTGAGGAATCCCTGACTAAATCCCTAAAGCGTAGTGTTAAACTCCCTCACAAACCTGACTGATCTCTAGGAGGAATAAATACCCCTTGCAGTATGTTAAAAAAAAAAAAAAAGCCATTTGGGGCCGCTGTCTCAAAAGTCTATTTCGAGCTTGCCAATGCCTTGATTGCTCCAAATACTGGTAGAACTGAGTTTCATTCTTCTAACTGCCACTGATTCGACCAACAGAAAGAGGGCAGGACGTAGATAAATAACACCTTCCATCCTACATCCACTGAGGAAATCTTCTGTGTCCTACTTCCAGTTACCATTAGTGCAACCACTGAGGAAGAGCAGAGAGCAGCCAGGCCAATGGGACCACATCCCATTACTGCATAGAGCCTCCCCTCTTATTGGAAACGGCCATCAATGTGACCACAGAAGAAGGCAGGAAGCAGTCAGGCAAACTTTCACCGCATCGAGATCCTCTTCAGGTAAGAATGTCCTCCCCAAAGGACACTTCTCTTACATTCCAAACATCTTTGCATGGGTTTTGGATTCCCAAAAGCTAATTTCGGCTTTCAAAAACCGGAATAACAATCAGCATGCTTTTGATCCGAGTTTTAGGATACACCTGTTTGCACCCCAAAACATATGTGGTTGATACTGTAAATTATGGGGGGGATTAAATTATGTGAAAGGCCAAGAACCGAATCCTTCCACTCTTGTACATGTTGCAGGATATAGGGTTGATAACCTCCAGGTGATGGCTGGAGATGTCCTGGGATTACAGGTAATCTGTTCACCTGGATAAAATGGCTGCTCTGGAAGGTGGACTCTATGGCATTAGGCCCCATTGAAGTCCCCACCCCCAAATCCCACTCTTTTCATGTTCCACTCCCAAAATCTCTAGGTGTTTCCCAACCCAGAGCTGGCAACCCTAAATCACAGACTTTCAACTACGGAAGAACACTCCAGGCACAACATGAAGAACAGCAGCAGTGACATCCGAGTGATTGTGAACCTTCAATTTTTGTCCTGTGTGCTTCTACACAATCATTCAAAAAACTATTAGTTTCCAGATACAGAGAAGCACACCACAAGACAGAAAATCACCCCATCAAAGCTGTTCTGATTGACTGTATGAAAGGGAATTCTAAGGTTTGCCATCAAGTTAGCATTGCAAAGATAACAACAATAATAAAAAATAAACTGTCATGACAAATTACTGTTTCTCGGCAATTCACATGAAAACTGGGGAGCACAACAAGAATAAAGTATTTCAGTATTCTGATCCCGTCTCCTTGCAAAAAGAAAAGAAAAGAAAAGAAATCCCCCTTCCCAAGGAGAAGAAGAAGCAATTCCATTTTGCAAAACAATTCCATCAAAACAGCAAAACCCTCACCTTCTTAAGAAACGAAAAGCACTACCGGAATCTAACCCAGAGCTTTCAAATGCCCGAGGTAGCCATATACCTCTGCCCAAAAGGGATATGAGATGTCGGGACTTATCTGAGACCCCATATAAGCCACCAATCACTGCTGAGAAAAAAGTAGGAGACCTGTCAGAGGAGAGAGATGGCTAATAAAACTCAACACGCCCCCCACTGCAGATATTCTCCTGTCGAGTCACTACTCAAGGCTGCAGAGGATTTTGATGCCAAAAGCCAACCCCCTGCAGGAGCCATGGGGGTTTTTTTTATGCCCCCAACAATAACCATGTCTTCTTCAGCCCAGGTGCAAAGAAAGGCGGCCAGGAAGGCTCCTACTGGCCTGGCTTTCTGTAAAATGTGCAAAAACGAATTATTCAACAGAACTTTTCCTACACGGGCATAAGAACATCAGAAAAGCCCTGCTGGATCAGACCAGTGGTCCATCCAGTCCAGCATCCTGTCTCACACAGTGGCCAGTTACTATGGTTAGCCAACAACAGGGCATAGAGGCCAAGACCCTTATAAGAACATCAGAAGAGCCCTGCTGGATCAGACCAGTGGTCCATCTAGTCCAGCATCCTGTCTTATACAATGGAGGGCCAGTTCCTCTGGAGGTCCAACAACAGGGCTTAGAGGCTGAGGCCTTTCCATAAGAACTTCAGAAGAGCCCTGCTGGATCAGACCAGTGAGGGTCCGTCTAGTCCAGCATCCAGTCTCACACAGAGGCCAACTAGTTCTTCTGGAGAGCCAACAGCAGGGCAGAGAGGCCGAGGCCTTCCCCTGCTAAGAACATAAGAAGAGCCCTGCTGGATCAGACCAGTGAGGGTCCATCTAGTCCAGCATCCCGTCTCACCCAGTGGCCAATCAGTTCCTATGGATGGCCAGCAACAGGGCTTAAAGACTGAGGTCTTCCCCTCGTGTTTGCAGGGAGGGTGGGATATAAATTAAACGAATAAATAAAAAAATGTTGCCTCCTGGCTCTGGGATTCAGAGGATCCCCCTCAGTCGCCATGGCTAGTAGCCATTGACAGACTTATCCTCCATTAATCTATCTAATCCCCCTTTGTTGTTGTTGTTCAGTCGCACAGTTGAGTCCGACTCTTTGCGACCCCATGGGCCACATCACACCAAGCCCTCCTGACTTCCGCCGTGCGGCGGAGTTTGCTTAATTTCATATCCGTTGCCTCTTTATATCACCCTTTAACGCTGTTTATTTTTGTGGCCATCACTACATCCTTTGGCAGAGAGTTCCACATGTTATTCACTCTCTGTGTCAAGTAGTATGTTTTTTTTGTCCATCCTGAACCTACTGCCCATCAGCTTCATTGGGTGCCCTTGAGTTCTAGTATTTTGGGAGTAGGAGAAAAAATCCCTTTGTCAACTCTCCCCACCCCATGCATAATTTTGTAGACTTCTATCATGCCCCCTTTTAGTCAGGCGATCGTTATACTGTAACTAAGCTGAAGAATAAACCGCATTCTTGCTGAAATCACTCTCCGACTCTTGTTAAGCGCCCGACTTAACACCCACCTCTGTACTTTTTCCGGCTCCGCAATTTCCTCCTGGAGATACAGTGAGCAGCACTGTTGCAAATGAGGCTGCAGCATTGATCTATACAAGGGCATTATAATATTGGTTGTTTTATTCTCAATCCCTATGTCATGATCTGGGCTGTGCCACCAGAGGCCTACTAGGCTCATGGAGCCTGGCTAGCAGTATGTGAGGCTGGGCCTAAGAGGTTTTGGAGCCAAAATTGACCAATAGGGAAGAAGAGGGCTGGGGAACAAAAGGGCTGGTGCCAGAGCAAAGGCAGTTCTTTCTTCCGGAGGGCAGAGCCAGAAGGAAGGCTGCTGCAGAAGAGAGACCCTCATCCTGAGGGAAGTTTAGTAGTGTGAGGCCACTTGAGATAGTGAGCTAGGGGCAGTATATATTTCGACGTGTTAGGGCATTTGGTTACTTTTCTTTTCACCCACTTACTGTTATTATTCTGCACCTTGTTGTTTGACCTCCTATAAAATAAACCTTTTCCTTGTTTCACTCTGCCTGGTCCTCACACCTGTTATTTGGCCAAAAGGGAGGTCTGAAGGCCTTAGGAGGGTGCTCTGGGCCTTCTCAAGAGAACCTAAATCCAGAGTGGTGGCAGCGTCAGGTGACACCCCACCTGAGCTGTGACACCATATCAATAGAATAGCACTTTACAAAATGAGTTCACAGTTATCATAGTACCCAGTGCTCAAGGAAGCAGCCTGATTTCCATGGGAACTCTGGGAAACCCTAATTGAGACTCTTTTTCTGTGACTCCCCAAGGCCCCATGCACCCCAGCCACGATGAATGCCTGAGGTCTGCAGGAGCAATAACTAAACATCCCAGACGACTCAAAATATCCCTGACAATATGAGCTTCTGAGGAAACCTAGATGAAAATCAGGCAGGATAACCTCATCTTAGAAATCAGATGCATTGGTTCTGGTACAAGACTAGGATGTGGGAGATTCAGATCCCCACGTAATAGCTGCCTTCACACACATGGACTAATGCACTTTCAATACATTTTGCAAGTGGATCCTGCTGTGTGAAATGGCAAGACCCACTTCAAACAATCACCGAAGTGCATCAAAAGTGGACTGAAAGTGCATTATTCAGTGGGCATGAAAGATACAGTCATGAAGAATGTGTTTGAGTTTTGGAGTAAATATTTCTTTATCAATAAGGGAGTTTTTTTGAAAACATTAATTCATCCATCCATCACTTCCTCCAAAGATCTCAGGGCAGTGTATAGCGTTGCCAGGTCTGGGTTGGGGAATACCTGGAGATTTTGTGGTCCGAGCCTGGAGAGGAAGGACCTCCCCAGGCTATAATGCCACAGAGTCTACCCTCCAAAGCACTAATTTTCTCCAAGGGGACTGATCTTGGATATCTGGAGACCGACTGTAGTAATGGGGGATCTCCAGGTGCCACCTGGAAGTTGGCAGCCCTCGTGCCAGCATACATCATTATCCTCTCCACCATTTT